CCCGTCACCTAATAGTAAAATTTACAAGTCTTAGTGACAAAGAGAAAATCCTGAAAGCAGCCCGGGAAAAGAAGTCTGTAACATACAATGGTAAAAATATTAGATTGGCAGCAGACTTATCCACAGAGACCTGGCAGGCCAGAAAGAGCTGGCATGATATATTCAGAGTACTAAACGAGAAAAACATGCAGCCAAGAATACTATATCCAGCTAGGCTATCATTGAAAATAGAAGGAGAGATTAAAAGCTTCCAGGACAAACAAAAACTGAAAGAATTTGCAAACACCAAGCCAGTTCTACAGGAAATATTGAAAGGGGTCCTCTAAGCAAAGAGAGACCCTAAAAGTAGTAGATCAGAAAGGAACAGAGACAATATACAATAACAGTCACCTTACAGGCAATACAATGGCACTAAATTCATATCTCTCAATAGTTACCCTGAATGTTAATGGGCTAAATGCCCCAATCAAAAGACACAGGGTATCAGAATGGATAAAAAAACAAAACCCATCTATATGTTGCCTACAAGAAACTCATTTTAAACCCGAAGACACCTTCAGATTTAAAGTGAGGGGGTGGAAAAGAATTTACCATGCTAATGGACATCAGAAGAAAGCAGGAGTGGCAATCCTTATATCAGATCAATTAGATTTTAATCCAAAGACTATAATAAGAGATGAGGAAGGACACTATATCATACTCAAAGGATCTGTCCCACAAGAAGATCTAACAATTTTAAATATCTATGCCCCTAACGTGGGAGCAGCCAACTATATAAACCAATTAATAACAAAATCAAAGAAACATATCAACAATCATACAATAATAGTAGGGGACTTTAACACTCCCCTCACTGAAATGGACAGATCATCCAAGCAAAAGATCAACAAGGAAATAAAGGCCTTAAATGACACACTGGACCACATGGACATCACAGATATATTCAGAACATTTCATCCCAAAGCAAAAGAATACACATTCTCCTCTAGTGCATATGGAACATTCTCCAGAATAGATCACATCCTCGGTCCTAAATCAGGTCTCAACCGGTATCAAAAGATTGGGATCATTCCCTGCATATTTTCAGACCACAATGCTCTGAAGCTAGAACTCAATCACAAGAGGAAATTTGGAAAGAACCCAAATACATGGAGACTAAACAGCATCCTTCTAAAGAATGAATGGGTCAACCAGGAAATTAAAGAAGAATTGAAAAAAGTCATGGAAACAAATGATATTGAAAATACAACGGTTCAAAATCTGTGGGACACAACAAAGGCAGTCCTGAGAGGAAAATATATAGCGGTACAAGCCTTTCTCAAGAAACAAGAAAGGTCTCAGGTACACAACCTAACCCTACACCTAAAGGAGCTGGAGAAAGAACAAGAAAGAAACCCTAAACCCAGCAAGAGAAGAGAAATCATAAAGATCAGAGCAGAAATCAATTAAATAGAAACCAAAAAAACAATAGAACAAATCAATGAAACTAGGAGCTGGTTCTTTGAAAGAATTAATAAGATTGATAAACCCCTGGCCAGACTTATCAAAAAGAAAAGAGAAAGGACCCAAATAAATAAAATCATGAATGAAAGAGGAGAGATCACAACTAACACCAAAGAAATACAGACAATTATAAGAACATATTATGAGCAACTCTATGCCAACAAATTTGACAATCTGGAAGAAATGGATGCATTCCTAGAGACATATAAACTACCACAACTGAACCAGGAAGAAATAGAAAGCCTGAACAGACCCATAACCAGTAAGGAGATTGAAACAGTCATCAAAAATCTCCAAACAAACAAAAGCCCAGGGCCAGATGGCTTCCCGGGGGAATTCTACCAAACATTTAAAGAAGAACTAATTCCTATTCTCCTGAAACTGTTCCAAAAAAATAGAAATGGAAGGAAAACTTCCAAACTCATTTTATGAGGCCAGCATCACCTTGATCCCAAAACCAGACAAGGATCCCATCAAAAAAGAGAACTACAGACCAATATCCTTGATGAACACAGATGCAAAAATTCTCACCAAAATACTAGCCAATAGGATTCAACAGTACATTAAAAGGATTATTCACCACGACCAAGTGGGATTTATTCCAGGGCTGCAAGGTTGGTTCAACATCCGCAAATCAATCAATGTGATACAACACATTAATAAAAGAAAGAACCATATGATACTCTCCATAGATGCTGAAAAAGCATTTGACAAAGTACAGCATCTCTTCCTGATCAAAACTCCTCAAAGTGTAGGGATAGAGGGCACATACCTCAATATTATCAAAGCCATCTATGAAAAACCCATCGCAAATATCATTCTCAATGGAGAAAAACTGAAAGCTTTTCCTCTAAGGTCAGGAACACGGCAGGGATGCCGTTATCACCACTGCTATTCAACATAGTACTAGAAGTCCCAGCCTCAGCAATCAGACAACATAAAGAAATTAAAGGCATCCAAATTGGCAAGGAAGAAGTCAAACTATCACTCTTCGCAGATGATATGATACTATATGTGGAAAACCCAAAAAACTCCACTCCAAAACTGCTAGAACTTGTACAGGAATTCAGTAAAGTGTCAAGATATAAAATCAATGCACAGAAATCAGTTGCATTTCTCTACACCAACAACAAGACAGAAGAAAGAGAAATTAAGGAGTCCATCCCATTTACAATTGCACCCAAAACTATAAGATACCTAGGAATAAACCTAACCAAAGAGACTAAGAATCTATACACAGAAAACTATAAAGTACTCATGAAAGAAATTGAGGAAGACACAAAGAAATGGAAAAATGTTCCATGCTCCTGGATTGGAAGAATAAATATTGTGAAAATGTCTATGCTACCTAAAGCAATCTACACATTTCACGCAATTCCTATCAAAGTACCATCCATTTTTTTCAAAGAAATGGAACAAATAATCTTAAAATTTATATGGAACCAGAAAAGACCGCGAATAGCCAAAGGAATATTGAAAAAGAAAGCCAAAGTTGATGGCGTCACAATTCCGGACTTCAAGCTCTATTACAAAGCTGTCATCATCAAGACAGCATGGTACTGGCACAAAAACAGACACATAGATCAATGGAACAGAATAGAGAGCCCAGAAATAGACCCTCAACTCTATGGTCAACTCATCTTCGACAAAGCAGGAAAGAATGTCCAATGGAAAAAAGACAGCCTCTTCAATAAATGGTGTTGGGAAAATTGGACAGCCACATGCAGAAAAATGAAATTGGATCATTTCCTTACACCACACACGAAAATAGACTCAAAATGGATGAAGGACCTCAATGTGAGAAAGGAATCCATCAACATCCTTGAGGAGAACACAGGCAGCAACCTCTTTGACCTCAGCCGCAGCAACATCTTCCTAGGAACATCGCCAAAGGCAAGGGAAGCAAGGGCAAAAATGAACTATTGGGATTTTATCAAGATCAAAAGCTTTTGCACAGCAAAGGAAACAGTTCACAAAACCAAAAGACAACTGACAGAATGGGAGAAGATATTTGCAAATGACATATCAGATAAAGGGCTAGTGTCCAGAATCTATAAAGAACTTAGCAAACTGAACACCCAAAGAACAAATAATCCAATCAAGAAATAGGCAGAAGACATGAACAGACATTTCTGCAAAGAAGACATCCAGATGGCCAACAGACACATGAAAAAGTGCTCCATATCACTCGGCATCAGGGAAATACAAATCAAAAGCACAATGAGAAACCACCTCACACCAGTCAGAATGGCTAAAATTAACAAGTCCGGAAATGACAGATGCTGGCGAGGATGCGAAGAAAGGGGAACCCTCCTACACTGTTGGTGGGAATGCAAGATGGTGCAACCACTCTGGAAAACAGCATGGAGGTTCCTCAAAATACTGAAAATAGAGCTATCCTACAACCCAGCAATTGCACTACTGGGTATATCCCCTAAAGATACAAACGTGGTGTTCCGAAGGGACACGTGCACCTGAATGTTTATAGCAGCAATGTCTACGATAGCCAAACTATGGAAAGAAGCTAGATGTCCATCAACGGACGAATGGATAAAGAAGATGTGGTATATATACACAATGGAATACTATGCAGCCATCAAAAGAAATGAAATCTTGCCATTTGCGGCGACGTGGATGGAACTAGAGGGTATCATGCTTAGCGAAATAAGTCAATCGGAGAAAGATAACTATCATATGATCTCCCTGATATGAGGGAGAGGAGATGCAACATGGGGGGGTTAAGGGGGTAGGAGAAGAGTAAACGAAGCAGGATGGGATTGGGAGGGAGATAAACCATAAGTGACTCTTAATCTCACAAAACAAACTGAGGGTTGCTGGGGGGAGGGGGGTTAGGGGGGTGGGGTTATGGACATTGGGGAGGGTATGTGCTATGGTGAGTGTTGTGAAGTGTGCAAACCTGGTGATTCACAGACCTGTACCCCTGGGGAAAAAAATATATGTTTATAAAAAATAAAATTAAAAAAAAATCAGAAAGCTTCTATTTGGAAAAAATAAAAAGAGTGAAGTAGGTGGTACAGTGTATATGGAAGCAACAAAACAAATAGAAATCTAAACAAATGACATAGTTCATACAAATAGGAAATTTTGAAACTGAAATTCTGTAATCAAGGGAGTGATTACCTTGAAAAGAGAAAGTACCTTTTCAATAATAATAAAAAAAAGAATCCTCCAACTTTAATTTGTTTCTTTTCTTTTCTTTGATATTCCTATGCACTTTAATCTCACCTAAATAGAGCCTTAGTCATAAAAATGAAACAATGTACTTCTTTAGGAGATTAATTACCTCAGATCTATAGGAATACAGATCTGTTGATTGTTTTGGAGCTCTCCTAGTATAGAAGAATAGTGATTATAACATGTATATGTTTTAATTATTATTTCTTCTACCACTCAGCACCTCCTCCCAAATAAAACATCATAGGCTAAGGCAAATTCAACTATTCCTTAGAAAATAACAGATATTAAAATGTACTTACCTGCTTTTCTTTATTAACTCCAGACATGAAAAGTTGTTTGTATTTGTCCTTAAACGCAAAATTAAGAGCTTGTGTTGGAAAATATCGGATTACATTGGCCAAATTGCCACGCCAAAAACTGAAGAAACCTACAAAAAAAACCACATTAAATACAAGCTTGTATTATTATTTAAAAAATTCCCATAGTTTTAACAAACTTAGTTATTTGAACTATCTAAAACTTACACTCTTTCTCATGAGAAAAAATTAAGTCTACATGTGAATCCACTGAAGAAAAAAGGCAGTGTTAACTCATGTACCCCATTTCAATTTTGTTAATTTCCAGTAAAAAGTCTTAAATACCTTTAAATCTATGGAATGTATCATCATTTGAATATAAGGCTTTTTACTAGGTAGAAAAACAGAGCTTGCTAAAGCTAGTAATCCTTACCCTCATTTCCAAATCAGGATATGCAGTTTCTATGGTTAAAACAAAATTGGTTTGTATATATACTTGTGAGAATGAGAAAGCATTAAGAATCTAAAGTGGGGGTACCTGGGTGGCTCAGTTGGTTCAGCATATGATTCTTGATTTTGGCTCAGGTTATGATCTAAGGGTTCTGAGACTGAGTTGCGCATGGGGCTCTGTGTTGGGTGTAGAGCCTGCTTAAGCCTCTCTCTCTCCCTCTACCATTGTCCCCCCACCCCACAAAATGGAGTCTAAAGTATATTTACCTTTACCTTCTGGAACCTAGCCAGAAAAGAGATCAATTTACAATTCAAGGCATTCTCCAGAGGCCTGATGGAGAGACTGAAGAAAACTTTTCAGGTCAATAATCTTCCCACTTCAAATCTCCATGGATTGACCAATCCTTAAAATTCAGTCATTGTGTTACCCCTATAATTCAGAGTTACCTTTATAATCTTTATAATTGAGCTGCCCTAGAATACAATAGGCTATCTCCTCAGCAGCCATAGTTGTTTCTACTATATTGCAAATTATCCAATGGTTTGATCTGGCTGCTCTAGTCCCAACTTGGAGAATACCCAGAATCAGTCTTCTGATGATAAAAATTCAAAGGAAAATAATCTCAGTTGACTGGGCTGATGCTCAGAAACTGGAAGTTTTATTTAACAAATAATTTTTGGGGGGAAGAACACAGAATCTCTGTGAATCCCAAACTGCATGTAAAGCACAAAGATAATTTTTTTTTAAGATTTTATTTATTTATTTGACAGAGAGAGATCACAAGTAGGCAGAGAGGCAGACGGGGGGGGGGAGCAGGCTCCCTGCTGAGCAGAGAGCCCAATGAGGGGCTCGATCCCAGGACCTTGGGATTATGACCTGAGCCAAAGGCAGAGGCTTTAATCCACTGAGCCACCCAGGCGCCCTTTTACAAAGATAATTAAGGAGCATATTTAATAGCCAAGAAATAATCTCAGTACTCATAACTGATTCAGTTTTTACTAGGACATGGAACATGTAATGCTAGATGCTACCATTTCCTGAGTGTTTAGTATGGCCAGGCACTGGCCAAAGGTTGTATATTTCATTTAATCACTACATTTTGCTTACGATGTAGGTTCTCCTATACTACCCATATTATACATGCACAAACTGAAATTTTAAAAGTTTAAAGACTGTCTACAGACATGGTTAATAAATAGCCAACCAGGATTTAGTCAGGTCTTGTGTCTAGCAACAAAACTCTATTCCAGGTTTGGGTTTCTGAAGAAATAAATCTTAAAAAGTTTTAAGATTATTAAAGTGTGGTAAATAAAGCTCTTTTTAAAAAAAGGAAATGGATTATTATAAAACTTTTGAGGCAATATTAACAAAAATGACAATACTAAATTCTAGGAACTTCTTTTTATTAATTTAATCTTCATAATCTCCTATGAGGAAGGTATTATTCATGTCTCCATTTTAAAGATGGGGGAATGAGTTAAAACAGAACTTCTAAGGCAGACAGAAATTAAGTTACTTGCCTAAGGTCACTTAGAAAACTGTAGCTCTGGAATTCAAACCCAAGCAATCTGGCTCAATAATTTAGTCCCTTATCTACAATACTTTTCCATATATACTTTAATCAAGTGAATATTTTCCATACTAAGAAAGGTCAACTCTTTTTCTTTAATGGAAGCAAAATAAAAATCTTAAAACATGAGAAATGTAAGCTAATTATAGAAGAATATTTTTTGCTAGTTATGGCCACATTGAATTATTGAGGGAGATTGGTGAATCTGATTTTTGGAGGTATTTTTGTGATTTTTAAGTTCTTTCTTGTTAATGGAAACATTTAAGAAAACATTTGTATTTTCTTAGAGGTTAGACCTCCAAAAGAGAAATACAGAGAATGAAATATGACTGTGTAAATGATACTGAAGAACGATTTGATTTTCTAGACCATGGTTTATAGTAACACAACGACAGATTACTGGCAGAGAACAATGTCAATCTTAAAAGGATGAAAAAGAACATATTGCCAGGAAAATTGCCAATATGATCAAATGGGATTTAAGTTGAAGAAAAAAAATCATTTGTTTAAAAAATATAAACAGTTTAGAAAAAGTGCCATGTTATCAAAAGATATTACAATTTCCATTTTATACATGACTTTTAAATATTTATAGTCATTTTGGAAATGGCTCACTCAGCTGAATGTTACTGAGATATTATGGGCTTTAGATTATGAGTTATTAGTAATAATTCTGTAATTATGATTGCAGTCTAAATTAATATTTATTTCACAAAAAGAGTGTCATATGGGGTACAGGGGTGGCTCTATCAGTTAAGCATCTGACTCTTGATTTTAGCTCAGGTCATAATCTTTGGGTTAGGGTTGTAAGATCCAGCCCCAGCATCAGGCTCCATGCTCCACAGGGAGTCTGAGATTTTCTTTCTCACTCTGCTCCTCCCTATCAAGCATGCTTGTTTTCTCTTTCTGTCTCTCAAATAACTAAATAAATCTGTAAAAGAAACAAGTGTCATATATAAAGCATTAAAAAGATTTGTAACTTTGGCTAATGAATTAAATACAAGGGAAGATTTTGATGACAAAGTCATCTGAAAACTAACACAAGACCATGACGGAATGCTGGATTTATGAGTCAAGGGGTTTGTTAGAGTTGGCTGAAGAACATATTCTTTTTAGCAAAAATGCATTTGCATGAAAAAAAACCTAAAAAATTCATCAAAACAAATGTCAATGTCTCAATGAAAATCTAGAAACAAATAAATCCCTAGAAGTATAACAGGAAAACTGTTATTGTTATTATTGTTAGGAAAAATTGTTATTGTCTTAATGGGTTATATCTGAAAAAATATAATCTCACATACATAAAATACTTTTGCATATATTTCAAAGAACTTATGGATTCCCTGACGCTGCAGTGTCAGATTACGAACTACTCTTTTGGGGGACTTCGGTGGCTCAGTTGGTTAAGCCTCTGCCTTCTGCTCAGGTCCTGGGATCAAGTCCAGTGATGGGCTTCCTGCTCAGTAGGTAGGCCTGCTTCTCCCTCTTTCTCTGCCCTCTCCCCACCCCACTGCTTATGCTTGCTCTCAAATAATAAAATCCTAAAAACAAAAACAAAAACAAAAAAACCAAAACCTTTTAATTTTACCCTTATATACATTTCCCACTATACACTACTCTATTATGCACATTTGTAAAATATACCCGAAAGAGAAATTAAAGGATGAAATAAATATTTTTCACTTAAAAACCTCTTATTTGGTATCCAGTGTGTAGCCGACTTGCTGGGGATAGCATTAGGAATAAATTTCGTGGTCTTATGGAGCTTATATTTTGAGGGAGAAGGACCAGGGAGACAGACAACGAATAAATAAATATGTCAAGTGGCTATAAGAACAAAAATAGTATATGGAGATGGAGGAATGAGGAAAAGCTATTTAGACATGATGGTTGGGAAAAACTTCTGGCTAGGAGATATCAGAGCCTAACTTAGCATTCATTAGAACAATTAAACAATCTTTTTAGATATCTTACTAATCATGATGTTTTCACACCATCATTTGTTATATATCTCAAGGCACCCTTAGGATAATGTTCATTCTTAAGAACAGTATACATAAAGCTATATTTCAAATAGTCTTCTTGATAATTTCAAATATTCAAATAGTCTTGTCTCTATAAATACAATTGAGCAAACATAAACTATGTTTATTATATAATAATTGAGGAAGGATACCTGTCATCCCCTCTCTGGTGTATAATTCATATTTTTTTCCAGAATGCCTTAGTGTCCAGTGCTATATAATTCACATTTGGCCAGCATAGATGCCAGTGCCAACTCATATACCAAATATCATAAAGTTTATTTTCCCATTTTATTTAAAGTGAATGCCTAATATTTTCTTTTCATACGCCAAAACACTGTTTTCAAGATATAAAAACCTCATGGTCAGAAACTCCTAAAAGAGAAAAGAGTTCTAGTAGGTGCTTAAAAATGAACTGCATAGATCAGATCTTTAAAAGATTAGGTTTACAATATGTTAAATAAAAAATTATTTTAATTTAGAATATGCTTTCATATATGCATATTGTGCCCAGTGAAAAATTATTGCATAGACACCAAAATGTTAACTGTGGGGATTTTAGTAGTCATTTGTTTTACTTTCTATAATAAACATGCTTTGTTTGTATAATAACGGTTTAAACAGAAATTAAATGCACACAAAGTTGGAAGGTCCTACAACGAACTAAAGAATAGAATAAATCTTTAAGAATACCATCAGCCAAGTTAAATCCAGAAGCTTTTATAAGCCAAAGAAATCTTGTAAGAAGTATGAAAAGTACCCAAAGAGATGTTTAATGCTAAGTTCAAAGCTTTAAAATGATGAGATCTGTCTTTGGGGTATAAACAAAGCAGAGATAAGATAAGAAGACAGTGTGAGAGCAACTACTTGTGCCTAATGAGTGCATGTCCCTCAGGTTCATTTCATGTTGTCTAAAGAAAATTTATCAGTACAATTAGAGCAAACATGAAACACAAAAGAAACTTCAGAACATTTGAGATGAGGATGTGTCTTGATTTTCAAAAAAGCAAGAGAAAGTAAATTCCAGAAAATAACAATTTCAGAACTTGATTGCCTAGTAAAGTTCCAGTGATTTACCACAGTGATTCTCAAACTTACCAGACTCAAGTCCTCTACACAGAATACATATTTTACAACACTTCCTTTACTATCTAGAAACAGAATTCAAAAACTGTGACCTCTTGAACAATTTTTTACAAATCCATATAATGTCCTCTCTACAATATAGGAAGAGAAAATAAAGACATTTTGAATAAAATAGGTATTTTAATTAGTAAATTGGTGAAGTATGAACACACCATAGAAAAAACAAGCAGATGTTTGCTTCTACTTAATAATGAATGTTATACTTAAGATACATTTACATTTCTTTTAAAGGGCTTAATAAATATATTTGTGTATATAAATGTGCAACCATCATGAATTCAAGAGTAAAGTGGTGACCGAATGTAAAAGAATTGGTGAGTTTTCCCAATAGTGAACAATTCTCAGTATAATTTTTTTACCGGGGGCAGGGGAGGGCAGAGGAAGTGGGAGAGAGAGAATCTTAAGCAGGCTCCATGCCCACCTGGTACAAAGCCCCACATAGAGCCCGAGGCAGGGTTCCAACTCAACCCTGAAATCATGACCTGAGTCAAAATGAAGAGCTGGACACTTCACCAACTGAGCCATCCAGGTGCCCCTTAGTACACTTCTTAATAAAACAAAGTACAATATTCCCTCTACTCACATGGCAACTGCATTTCTGGAATCAGTGAACATGGAAACAATGTTCCAGATAGTTTGTGTTTATAAGCAAATCAGAGTTAGGTTCTAGGCTTAGAAAATCATAAACAGGTTTTACTGCTACAAGAATGTCCAGTGGAGAACTGAGTCATTCATGTTGTAGAATAAATGTTTGTTGTGTAAGACGGCCATGTACAGCAGCAGGATGTTTATCATCCCTGGCTTTTGCCTTTTACATCATTGGAATTAGGGATTACAACCTTCTATCTTTGTGCTAAACAAAAAATTCCCTACAAGATTGTAAAATATACCCCTAGATGGCAATATTATCCCTGTTGTGAATTCTAATCTCTTAGCACAAAGCCTGGTCTATAAGAATAGAAAACATCTTAAAATTCTGCCTATAATCATCTCATTGGAAGGTAAAGAAAACAGGGACTGGAATACTATTCAAAATGATCTCAATTTACAAGAGCCATATTGAATATAGGTTTAAATATTATTTAAAACACTTAAAATATAAACTAAATTAGTGCTGATCAGCACAATCTGAGTAGGATATTTAACTTTACCTTACTAAATATTTAAACCAGATTAGCTAATAATAAAGTCCCTTACTTCTCTGAAGAGGTCTTAGAATGTCAGCCAAGAAGAGATAGGTTCCCACTTTTCCTTTAAAAACCCTGAGGGAAATGGGAAGCTTACTCTGATAAAACAAACGGGAGTGGAGAAATGTGAAGCACAATGAAAGATCTGAGCTCAGCTCCCCGGATGGGCATTCTAAATTTACGACTTAGATGATGCCTTAAAAGTTACACTCAGGGGCGTCTGGGTGGCTCAGTCCATTAAGTGCCTGCCTCTGGCTCAAGTCATGAATCCAAGGTCCTGAAATAGGGTCCTACATCTGGCTCCTTGCTCAGCAGAAAGCCTGCTTCTCCCTCCGCCTGTCATTCCCCCTGCTTGTGCTCTTGCTCTCTCTCTCAAATAAATAAAATCTTTAAAAAAAGTTACACTCCAGGGGCACCTGGGTAGCTCAGTGGGTTAAGCTGCTACCTCCGGCTCAGGTCATGATCTCACGGTCCTGGGATCGAGTCCCGCATCAGGCTCTCTGCTCAGCGGGGAGCCTGCTTCCCTCTCTCTCTCTCTCTGCCTGCCTCTCTGTCTACTTGTGACCTCTCTCTGTCAAATAAATAAATAACATCTTAAAAAAAAAAAAAAGTTACACTCCACCCTAAATACTATACTCAACAGCTCAAGAGAAGTTGTAAGGACATCCCTAGGGAAAGAATGCTTTTCTCCTGGAAGAGCAACCATTGATTTAGGAATGGAAGAAAAGGATGGCACTGGAATTGAAACCACTTCATTTCTCATTTAGAATACACAATAAATAGACCTATTTCCTTTTTAAAGTTTATATAGAGTTTTCAACTGAATACAACTACATGGGTCAATTATAGAAAATTGTTGGTAAATTTATCCTCTTCCCTACTTAGCTAATTTAGGAGCCATTCTGTAACAGGAGGGTATTTAATGGTTAACAAAGCACTTTCATTATTTTTTCCTTGAAATCATTTCAATAATACTGGATAAACTCTCCACAATGAAAAAATACGAAAATTTTAATTAATGCAGGGCTGATGCAAAATACTACTGTCTTTATTTAAAATTTTGATATTTTGCTCACCTTGGATTTTTCGCATTTTGATTTATATCATTTGTCTTTTTGAGTTTTGGGGGTGTCCTCCACAAATTTGTGCAGGGGTGAATGCCCCTCTTTAGTTTCCGCCCTGATCTTCAGGAGTTCTCAAGAATAAACAGAACCTCTTTCACTGAGTAGGAACTAGAGTACTGGGAGGCTCCGATGCTTCCATATTTGGGGTACTTCTCTTAAAAATACTATTTCAACAAAAACTTAAGCACCTTAAAGCACCTGTTAACACATAAAGCAAATTACCTAATGGCATCTCCCTTGATCCTGGGAGGTCAACCACTTTCCTTCTGAGCCAGGCACAACTGCACCAAGGTGTAAATCCTGATGTTGAGGAGAAACAAGAGAATCTGGTGGCCGCTCCTACTCAGAACTGACCACGTGGTAGGTCTTCTCGGCTCGGGGAAGTGTAGCCTCTTAAGACCGGTTAAGACACTGACTTCTCAACCGAGAAGAAATAAACTCCTCACGGACCAACGCGGCTGCGGTGCAGTCCATCCCCTCTCGCTCCACCCCCCTTTCTGGGACGCTGACCTAGAACCGGTAAGGCTGGCACCATAGCCGCCGGTACGCACCTTGCTCTCGGGGAATCCGCACCAGGCAGTCCACCATGCCTTTGTACTGCGCCTCGGCACTGATCTGCTTGGAAGACGCCTGCACCTGCAGCAGCAGCTTCACCCGCTCGATGGGGGCCACCGCGGTCTTGGACACAGCCGCTGCGACCCCGCCTGCCAGCAGGTCCTTCCCAAAGGATGCGGGGTCAAAGAGCCGCTTTTCCGACTTCTTCTCTTGCTTCTTCTTCGGAGGTTCACGCTGCATGGTGGGATGAAAGAGGTTAAAAACAGGCAGCAGCTGTGGCAAAACAAGCCTGAGAAGGACGACGAAAGGAAGCAGAAAACCGCCTCGGCGTCCTCCTGGCGGGAAAGCAGCGCTCAGGATGCCGGGATATCAGCGTGCAGGGCCTGGGTTCCCGGAGCTGCGCAGGCGCCTCCAACCGCCTCCCGCCTTCTGGCACCAGCCACGTGACTCCCGACACGTGGCTCCTCCGCGCAGAGTTCTGCGGTGATGAACAGCGATGTGGGCTTTCCCTGCTGCCCGCAGGGTCGCAGGAAGGCGGGCCGTGGGGCTGAATCGCAGAGGTGCAGGAAGGGAGCCTCGAGAGCTAGTCCAGTAACAGGATATTTAGGAGCCAAAACTGTAATAGAGTAGTTAACCAACCGCGTGGGTTAGCCAAGTTTAGTTTTAGTTCCTAGGGTTATCCTTCCATTTTCTCTTACAAATCCATTCGATTTCTGCTCCTTTAATTAGGCAGGGATTGTTTATCCAGTCATGTTTACAGTCTGCCTTTGCTCATAGCACCCCAGTAGCTTAATTTAACATGTTCCTCTTTCTTCTGTATTTTATTCAAATTGATTGTTTTATCTGGAGCAGAGGTTCTCAAGACTAACCAAAGGGGACAGGGATATGCTGTTTTAACTAGTGCTTGGGCTTAGGGATTCTATTAGAACAGGGCTTCACAACCTTTTTATTTTAGGACCCCTTTCCACTCTTAAAAAACTAGGGTCACAAGGAAGCTGTTTCTGTGTTAAACGTATTGATACTGTTCAGAAACCGAAACGGAAAATTTTAAAATATCAGTTTACTTGAAATAACCCATAATATAAATAACATTTTAAAAAGTAACCATTTTTCAAAACAAAAAAAAAATGAGAATAGCCTTGTTTTGTATTTTTGAAAATCTCTTTAATACCTAACTTAATAGAAGACAGCTGGATTTACATGACTGCTTTTGTCCCCACTCTACTGCAATACCACACATCATGTAGCTGCCGGAAAACTCCACTGTGCGGTCAGAGAATGAGAGTGAAACAGGCAATTAGTGTCTCAGTATTATTAAGGAAAGTTTTTATCCCATGGTGTCTCAGAAGAGGTCTTGGTGACATCTGTACTTGATATCTATCTATACCCATACCACACTTTGAGAACTAACCTGGAAGCTTATCAGATTCAGGTCTGATTCCAGGCAAACAAAACAAACAAAAAAACAAACCACAGTAGATGTGATGTACATCTAGCCTGCATCTAATGTCTTACTCTATCTTCACCTTGCTTCTTTTCAGTTTGTACATCCTGGAGATCCTTCGGTGGTAGCATATAATATATTCCTGATTTCTTTTTATATCTTGTTTAATGGTTTCTAATAAATAGAGATTCTATTTTAACGTCTCTTATTTAGGACCTGCACTCTTGAAACACATCTACAAACCATAAGTTGAGTTATTTTTTGGAACTTAGGGTTCTAGTTTTTTCTTTATTAATCTTAAGTGTGTTTTTACACTTTTTTTAAAAAAAGATTTTATTTATTTATTTGACAGAGAGATCACAAGTAGGCAGAAGAGACAGGCAGAGGGGGAGGAGGAAGCAGGCTCCCTGCTGAGCAGAGAGCCCGACTTGGGGCTCCATCCCAGGACCCTGAGATCATGACCCAAGCTGAAGGCAGAGGCTTAACCCACCAAGCCACCCAGGTGCCCCCATTTTTACACTTTTGATACAACTTGTCACAAGTACAAAACCACACATTAAGGCCAGGATTCCAGAGTGGGAAATTGTTTATATTTTGATTACCTCACATAAAACGAGTTAGCAAGTCCTACATGTTTAGTGCTATCTTCCTTTCCATAGTAGCTTATTTGACTCTTAGCGGGGTTTTCAGCCAAATCTCTCTCCATTTGACATGCCACTGACAGGTTAATCTTTCCGAAGCAATTGCATTAATCATTATTCCTAGGCTTAAAAGATTTAGTCTTTTCATTGCACAGACTTCAAAATCCTTTGCGAAATACATTGCAAATTCAAGAAGTGATGTTTTTTTCTGCAAGAAATATAATGAAAGGTTTCGGTCTCCTCTAAGGGAATTTGAAGTATTAACAAGCATACAGGGAGAAATTTAAGGGGGCAGAGGGAATACTTGAGTCACACTCCAGGCAAGACTTTTTAAGGTGCCAAGAGAGGTCAAAGGAACATCTCTGGTCACGGGGATCATATGCATCGCAGACAGAAAAAGCAAGTGTTCTGTTGCTCTCCAGGGAGATGTTTTTGACTCTTATCATTGACAATGTTTATAGCATATTGCATTATGATATCCTCAAGCTTACTTCTGACATATATTCTTCCATAGAAGACAGCAAACATGAAAAAAGTGAAAGTACTTAAAAATGTAGATCTTTTTTTTTTTTTTTAGGCTTAAAAGCTATGGACCAGCTCTTTTCAATACATGGAGCTAAAATTATTTAACTAGCTGTATTTGCATTTTATTTACTGATTTAGGAAACAAAAAATATTCTGGTGATTTATAAGTTGATATTAAAAGTAGAGAGTCTCAGAACCTTTGAGTTGTTCATTCTGGTTTCCTTAGAAATCAGCATGGTTAGTTGTCTCTCTCAGTTCAGGTCTAGGGTCATCTTAGCAACCCGTTCCCTGGCCACCCTATTTCTCACACTTCATATCCTATTTTCTTCCTTCACTTTTTTTCTCTTAGCTTTTATCAATATATTTTACTTATTTGTCTTATTTGTGGCCTGCCTTGCCCATGGGGACATCAGGTCCACGAAGGCCGGAATTTTTAGCTGTTTTGTTCACTGCTTTATCCCTGCATCCAGAACAGAGCTTGGCACAGAGTAGAAAGTCAATGATTTGTTGGATGAATGCATGAAAAGACAACACAACTGCAAGTAAACCTCCAAACCATCTTTATGAAAGACTATCAATATAAAAATAGCTTCAATTTTATAGAATATAGAAATACAACTCTACAAAATTAAATTATTTTCACATAGTTTAGTGTATAAAGTTTTAGTAACATTTAATAATGTATTTTAAAATATCCAAAGTATACATCCTTATTCTCAAAAGTGTTTAGTGTTGAATATTTTTCTCAGCTTCTTTCCGACATTTTGTACAGTAGCAGGTATGATTTAGCTGATACCTTGGTTTTTAACCAATGGATATATAATAATAATAAATGGTAGTAGTAGGTGGTAGTAGGAGTAAATAACACTTTCACAGCACATGATATGTGCACAATTTAGAGGGAACTTATACAGACAACAAATAATTATTCACAATATTATTGTGAAGAATGTTCAAAGCAGACAAACCTAGTAAATTGGTTTTATGACTTTGCTCATTTGTGTCAGAAATATAAAAATCAGGCACTGCAAATTTACTATCTTGCCAGTATGCATCACCATCAACAGTTCCTTGGCACAAATAAGAAACTCTCCCTTGCTAAGTACAGTTCTCTAACCTGACAAAATGAAACAAACAAAAGAACACTAAAGAAAGGAGAGGGAGGGTGGAAGGGTGGAAGGTGCCGAATCTAAAATGTAATTTTGGGGGGGGGGCCTAAAAGATGTATGATGGTGATAAAACAGTATTTGATATTTCCAAAACTGATAGTTCTATAATCTTTTGCATTTATAGTCTGGTAAAAGGGAACATTTGCAGAATGCTAATAAAATTCAACTTAAGAATATTTCTATATCAGCTAAAGTACACCTCTGGGGTATTTACATTGTCATGTTGTCCCCTTTTATTTAATAAAGTAGCAGATAGGCACTCATTGGCTAAAAATTAAATTGATCTTTCAGATGTGAATCTGAACATATTTGGAAAAATGGGCAGCTAGGTTTAGCTACAATGCTTACTTCAATATTCATTTAGAGATAACCACAATGTTTGGTTTTATTTCTTAAAAACTCAATGTCTCAGAAAAATACAATGTCTCTGCAACATGGACATTAAAGTATATATCTACAGTATAACAAATGATTTTCTACTTATTAAGACAAGTAGTCTATTTTGTCTTTTTTTTTTTGTTATTGAGTGGTGGTCTCAAGATGTTTTGACACCAGGAAAGTGGTTCAAAAGGCCAAAATTTCATTAACTGAAACAAAAAAGTCCCTTGTAATAAAAACCCCAGTTTTAGTTCAGTCTGTTTGAAAATCTGAGGTAACTGTTACATTTATTAATAAATCTTAGTACTGAAAATAGCTAATGTGTTTCGGGGGATATGTTAAGAAATTTAAGATACTTAATAAATACTTTTAAACAAAGTGCCTTATTTCCCATATATGTAGCAAGCAGAGCTAAGGCAGTGTTGAGGGTCTCTCTACCATTCTGACCAATATTGTGATCTTAAGCAGAGGATATTTCAAGCTGTTTTGTACATTTCAAGAACCGAAGTTTCTTTCTCTGATTTAAATGCCAAAGTTAAGGCCCACAAATCACTAACAGGACAAATACAGTGGTTTGCATTTTAAATACCTGGGTGAAAATCTCTTAAGCTGATTATACAGAGGTAACAGTGTTTCTTCGAAGACCAAATGTTTCAAAGGGTGCACTCACTGTGTTTTACAGTTAGTTCTAACCCCGAGGGCTCATGTTCCAGGTGTCTGAAGAGGCAATAGAGACTAACTTTAGATGTGTTGGCATAATTCCCCTTCTAAAGCTTAAGTCCTGAAAAAGAAAAAAACCCAGTATTGTAGTTTTGGGGACATCTGAGACTTCAGGACGATCTACTGGGTAAATGTTAACTAAAAATACAGGGGTGCCTGGGTGACTCAGTGGGTTAAGCCTCTGCCCTTGGCTCGGGTCATATCTCAGGGTCCTGGGATCGAGACCGGAAGCAGGCTCTCTGCTCAGCGGGGAGCCTGCTTCCCTCTCTGTCTCTGCCTGCTGCTTTGCCTACTTGTGACGTCTCTCTCTGTGTCAAATAAATAAATAAATAAAATAAAATAAAAATACAGTATTTGTTATGTTTTTCCTTCTTTCTCAATCCACCAAATTCTCATAGCCAAAGAAAATTCTTATCCTGATAGTTTTGATTCTCTACTAAGGGTCAAGTAAACTATTGTTCATTAACCTAATTTCCTTTGGGAAAACCCACTACATAACAA